CAACAGTGACAAAGCTGCATAGATACTGAATGGTGTGATGAAGCCTTATTTTTTTCACCACTATGTTATTTTGTAGAATGGATTTTTCAAGAACACATATATCACATTCCAGCAAAGAAAACCTACAACAGTTCTTACATAGTTTCCCTGTTGTGTAATCTGTGCCTTTTTTTGGACCTTTTTAAGATCACAAAGACACTATTACCTGCTTTCCTGAAACTCTTCTCCTACCTCTATTTTTTTTTAAATTCTTAATAGTAACTACTATTTTTGAGAATTTATGCATTGAGCACTTTGTTAATAAGATTACATTAAGTGCCAAGCAACACTTGTACTCAGTAGTATCATCAGCTGACCCTTGGATCACGCTTCATCTCAGAAAGAAGAAATGTTAATGATTGAATATGTTTTATTCTAATAATATCACCCACACACAAAAAATTTTCTTAAAGATTAAGGGGGGAAAGTCTCCTCAGTTTCTTGATTCTTAATTCCACTCATGCATAAATGCACAACCTTTTATACTGAAGGAACTGACATACACAGGACCTGCAGCCCATCACTTTCCTCTTTTGTAACTTTTTACACATTACTAAGGACTTTTCAACGTGTCAAACAAAAGCTGCCCCCTCACCCAATCACATAAAAAGATTAATATGCTGGGAAAACAAACATGTAAGTCAACAGAGCACTTGAAGTCCTAATTATCTAGATAGTGTTGCTTTATTTGCCAATAGCAAAGGAGAACCCACCCTTTTTTGTTGTTTGTTAAACAGAGATGTGGGTTTTAGTGAACTATAGGTCATCAGTTCATACCTACCACCAGCTCAGTGGGAGACAAAGAAGGCTCTCTGCACTCATAAAGATTTACAGTCTTGGAAACACTGTGAATTGGAATCGAATCACTGGCTAAGTATCTTTTCTCTGGTTAATAATGCATTGAGAAAAGCTGTTGCTAAGACCGGTGAAGACCATCTTGGTCAGATTATTCCACGCGTTTAATGAACTGTGGGTTTTGTATTCTTAGTTAAGTATTACCTACCCACCTAATTCACCTCCTAAATCTGCATAAGGCTTAAAAGACTACAGCCAAACCTTTAAAGCCCCAAATCTGTGTGAGGCAGAAACCTGTCAGAAGAGGAAAAACTCAAACACGTTCAACCAGTAGCTGTGGAGAAATGGTGAGACTGCACTCTGGCACAGGCATACAACTTCCAAGACCCAGAAAAGCCAGCAGCCTGCGCAAGTTCTGGTCCTCACAGGCTTCACTGTATCTTAAAGCAGTGGTTCTCCACCTTCCTAGTGTCACGACCCTTTAAGACAGTTCATCATGTTGTGCTGAACCCCCATAAAATTATTTTTGTTACTACTTCATAACTATAATTTTGCTATTGTTATGAATCTGGCTGACCCCTGTGAAAGGGTCGTTCGACCCCCAAAGGGGTGGCAACCCACAGGGTGAGAACTGTTGTCATAAGGTCATTTTGTAGCAGTGCTAAAAACAGCAAGATGATATTTTATTTACAAATTATATGCATCACTTTTGCCACATTTTTTTCAGGCACTTTAAGAAAAGATGATTCTATTATTTCAAGTCCTGATGTCACTGACATTGCACCAAGTAGAAAGAGGAGGCAGCGGATGCTGAAAAACCTCGGAACAGAACCTAAACTGGCCTCCCAGGAGCCTCAGTTTCAAGAAAAGGCAAAGTAAGTTATTTTATTCTTTGCTCAAATAATGAGAAGACATGAACATTTCACTATATAATTTGTAAAAGTAAGATATTTCTTAAAGTTTCTGAATATTCTAAAAACTATTTTAAAGAGATAGAATTATGTTTTATAAATTCCAAAATGTTTTAATCAAATATTTTCACTCTGGTATTTGGTTAAGTCCTGTTCATATTTATATCAGAAGTACAGAAAACATAGCAACATTTTGCTTGTGGTTTTTATGGATTAATTAGAAATGGCATATAGAATACTCAAAATATTAGCATCCAGCTTGTGTTCAATAAAGTGTTTCAATCTAATTTACTGCTTAACCGAGAGGCATATCACATTCAAATTACCCATTGGATTTGGTCATGCTTGACATTTTTTCAAATAAGATGTCTATTTTTGGTTATCTACTTATTTCTATTAATATGCTTTATTTTTACTGTTTGCACACTCTAGTTACCTCCCCGTTTACTGTAATGAATTGAGAATTGAAATACCTGCTGTTTCAACACAGTCTAACAAGGAGCACTTACAAAGAATACCATCAGTTGAATTAAAAAAAAAGTACAAATAACTTGTATGTTTGGATATGTGCAGGTGTCCCCCCCATGAATTAGTTGCTCTTTCTAAAAATATTCATTAATTTAGCAAATAATTATTGATTGATGACCATACAATGGCTATACTAAAAAGTGTCTCAAAGTAGTTCTCAAAGTATGGTGTGAGAATCCCAGTGGGTCCTCAATGTCTTCTCTAGGTCTATACCTGTGTAAAGTTAGATTTCCTTTAATCAATTCAATTAAAATAACATTCCATCTGGTTGAATGAATAAGCTAATGAGAACCCAACTGTTTTTAATCAAGACAACTATCAAACACATTTGGAAAAGTGTGAAACAATGCCTTCACAAGAATTTTTGCTTGGAAAATTAGTAATTTCCAATAAAAATTATGTATCACATATATTTGGTTATTTTTAATAGAATCAACTGCGCCACCACCCCCCCCCCATTTTTCTCAGTATCCATTTTACTTATGGCAAATATAACCCAAATAAGCAAAAAACTCTTAAAGTCATGAGAATTTTTTAAAGGATAAAGAGTTCCTAGGAAAAATAAGTTTTCAAATATAGACTGACAGGTTGTAAAGATTAAGTGAGACATACCCCAGGCCTTTAAGAAACGGAAAGCCTGAAGGCCAGAGGCAGTTTGATATTTTTTAAAATAAGAAATAAGCATTGTTGAGTTATAATGCTGGGGTTGGGTTAATTTTTGTGTCATTGGGTTTTTATGGGGTACAACTAATCTGATCTACTTATGCTTAAAAACATTGTCAATGTACAGTACTATGCCGGACCCTGAGACAGTACAGGTTCAGTTAATATATGTAAAACCTAAGTTTTGTTATCTCTTACTACTTCATGTTTATCCTATGAAGTTATTAATTATCTTCCCAAAATCCAATCCTTCCTAAAGTTAAGAGGTTGCATAATCTCTTTAAATAATGACCAAAACAATGACCAAGTGATGGACATTCAAGAGCGAACCTCTCTCAGCATATTGTAGATGGGAAAGAAAAATAAATGGCAAGCAGTTTGCAGTCTGCAGAGAGCTCCACACAGGCATACCTCCAGAGTTATTGTGGGTCTTCTTCCAGAGTGCCACAAAAAATGAAAATATCGTGATAAAGCTGGTCATGTGGCGCTCTTATTTCTTAGCACATAGAAATTTTTTTTTTTACCTGATAGGGTTGTCTAATAGTTGCATGATAGCATTATGAAAATAAGGTTGACATATTCGGGGAATTTCCAAAATGTGATACAGAGGCATAAAGTGAACACATGCTATTGGCAGAATTCAGCACAAGGTTGTCCCAAACCTTCAATTTATAAAATACACAATATGTGCTCTGAGCAATAAAGGGAAGCCCATAAAGCCAGGTAGACCTCTACTTTGTTTTGTTAAGTCAGTGAGTGATGAGTGTGATGTGCGAGCCATGGTGTTGGATGAGGAAGATTCAAAGAGATGGACAATAGAGACAGTTCTGTCATCATTGTAAAACTTGGTCCATTTGTTTTGTCTGATACACAAAGCAGGGTATGGGTGAGGGGGAAATATACTGGTTTGATGTGGAAGAGTTACATCTTTGATTTTTTTTCCACACTTGGTGAAGTTACTAAAATATGAGAGCAAGTCACAAAATATATCTACAAAATCATATTCACCGTTATTAAGCAAACATTTTTAAAAATATGAGGCGCCGTTTCTCAACATAGCCCCCATCAGGTCAGTGCACTTCTGAAGACAGTATTTCTCTCTCTCTAATTGGTATTTCTCTCTCTCTAATTGGTGCTCTTCAATTTACACCAAGCCAACACAGCATTTTTTCACTCTTTAGCTCAAATCGGTTCCTTAAAAATGTTCTTTTAGTTTAAGGAACAAAAAGAAGGCTGTGGGGAGGGGGGTGTAGGCTGAATGAAGGAAGGTTTTCCAATGAAATTTTTTTAAGATTGCCCTTTGCTACCCTTGAAAAATGAACAGGTGTATTGTCATGATGGAAAAAATTCCCTCAGCACAACTGTCCTGATCTCTTTTTTTCACCTGAAAACTTCATGAAAAGCCCCCACGGTCATTCCATGTCTTTGGAGAAAATGTAGCCAGATTATCTTGTGGGAATCCAAAGAAGCTGCCACCGTAACTTTCTTAGCTGGCTTCTGTCTTGAATTTAATCTGCCCTGCAGATCCCCTCAAAAGCCACTGTTTTCCCTGGACCTCTCCTTCGAAGGTACCCTAATGAGCCTAAGACCAGTGTGCTTCTGAAACAACCTGTCTGCAGCCATCCACTGATGGCAGAAACAGGTTTAAACATGTTTGCTTAGAATAAACCCGTGTGTGTGTAAATGACCGCTCTAGTAGTAATCCTTATTCACCTCCCCCATACAGTGATACCTAGTTTGTCGAATGGCTCCAAGCTCAAACTTTCCACCACTCGAACAGCAACATTTGAAAAAAAAAATCTGTTCAGTGTTCATAACTTTGCTTGCTAATCAAACTGAAAATCTGACTTGACCAAACCTGTATGGGTTGAGAGTTAGTCATGCACTGACTCTCACTTCAGCCCCACGGGGTGATGCTTCCGTCTAAGTGCTACTCTCGCTCAGACAATATCTGCTTGTGATCGTGCATTAAAATTCGTCACTGCACTTTGTATATGCTTTATCTGCATAACATATTGAACCATGGCCCCAAAGAATGTTAGTGATACCAAAAATGGCACTAAGAAGACAACTGAGAACCATGACAGAGTTAAAGAAAGAAATCATTTCAAAATTTGAATCAGGTTGCCGCTTCTCTGATTTGGTGGCTGAATACAATGAGACTAAGTCAACATTATCAACATTTTTGAGGGGAAAAAAATTGTGATTAAGCAGCGAATGTAGCAAATGATGTGAAATTGTTAACCACGAACCAAAGGACCCAGACCATCAAAGAGGCTGAAAATGACTGTTAACTTGGTAGTCAAAAACAACTCCACGACGATAGCTTATCTGAGACCGTGTTAGAAAGCTAAGTCTTTGTAGTGATATAAAGTCACGGACAATTGAATTTATAAGTAACTTTTGGGCCTCTGAACCAATTATTTATTTTGCCATTATTTCTTATGGGAAAATAAATATGTTTAGTTCTCGAACGTTTCATTGTTCAAACATGAATTTGGAATAAAATTGAGTTCAACAATTGAGGTAGCACTGTATTATACAATAATTTATTAAACAGCTTTCAAATACATGTGATCCAGAGAGATTTTCTAAATTAGCATTTTAATAAAATCACTGTGTTTGCTTTTGCCAATGAGCACTCAATAAATGTTATGTTCCTTTTCTTCCACCTTAAATGAGCAAGTTAGTGGTGATTTATAAAAACTTTTACGACTCTAAAAGTTGACTTAAATCATGTCAATTCTTGCATTATCTGCTACTTATATAATTGTTGGCCCTTAAGACCCTGACGGCTCCTACATAAAGGGCCCTGGTGGTATAGTTGCTAAAGCCCCTGGCTGTTAACTGTGCAATCAGTGGTTCAAACGCACCTGTCCTGCTACAGGAAAAGGCTGTGGCAGTCAGCCTTGAAAATCTTGTGCTGTCTGCTATAAAGAATTTTTAAAATAAAAAAATGTTTAGTAAATTTATTAATTGATGTTGTGTTTGATACTCACTTATGACTCCTCTTTTTTCCCCAAAGAAAGCAAACGAGATAAATTATTCAGTTTAGTTTTATTTTTTATACTTTAGGATATTTCCATTTTGATCACAAGAAATTGAAATATTGATCTTGAATTGAGATAGATGTATAATTTTTTATATTTTTACTAATTTATAGAGTTCAATTCAAGGATAGGTATGAACCTTTATGTATATATATGTAAATACATATATGCCTTATATATATTACCGTAGAGTGCCTAGTATAGGTGTCCAGATGGAAAGTTTGAAGATTTACCTTGCTAAGCATTTTGCTTTGTGTTTCACGTACGCTGTCATATTTTACTCTTGTAACTGATTAGTTGCTATTATTCTATTTTTTATTGATAAGTAAACAGATACACAGAGCTTAAGTAACTTATTCAAGGTCATACAACCCATGAGTGATGGTAAGTAATTACTTGTGGATTTATGAAACACTCATACTCCAGTGTTTATATAAAGAGACTCAGAGATTTTACTTGGGTGAGTTATTTCAACTTGACAATTTAGCCATACAACCTGTTATTAATATTGTTATCATCAACTTACTAAATAGTTCAGTAGTAACTATTCACTACTGTTATCTTTGATTTGTGATAGTAAATATTCTATCACATACTTACAAATCTTTGTTGTTATTATTGTTGGTTGTCTCCCAGTTGATCAAATTAAAGATGAACCCATATGTGCAGGATAAAACTGCTGCGTGGGGTTTTTCAGATTGTGACCTCTTGGAAGCAAGTTGC